AGGCAATTTAAAGCCCTATTTCCACTTGTCAGCATGGAAGGAAATCGTGGTTATTCAATTAATTCACCATCCCTAAGGGCCCCTAGCTATTTCCAAGTAGAAAGACTTGGGGGAGGGATGACAGGCTCCAACGGACTGGAAACACCTCCAACTTACAACAAGGCACCACTTCACTCATCAGCACCCCCTCTAATTAAGGATGACTCTTTCAGAAAATTCAGATCCATTTAAATTCTACCTCTGGTCCCCTCCATACCTAGGTGGTCCACAGGGATCACAGTACTTGTGTCTCAGATATAAAACTTTTACTTCCCTTCTACCTATCAAGATTCTGTGGCCAACTTGGTCTTCGGAAGTGAAGGCTGAGGAAGGTGGAAAGGTCAAGAAGTCTAGAAGGAAGTGAAGTGTTAAGATCATTCTCCTCCATAAAACATTGACTAAATACCTACTGTGTTAAGTGATCTTCTTAAAGTACAGGTCTGACCGTGTCAGCCTCTCTACTCAATAAACTCAATAAACAGTGGTTCCCTTTTATCTCCAGGATCAAATATAAAATCCTCTGTTTGGCTTTTAATATCCCATCATAAACTGGCCCCCTCCTACCTTGCCAGCCTTTTTACTTCTCTACAGTCCAGTGACCCAAGCCTCCTTGCTGTTCCTTGACGAAGACATTCCATCTCCAGACTATGAATTTGCCCTGGCTGGACCCCAAGTATGGCATTTTCTCCTTCTTCACCTCTAACTCCCTGCTTCTCTGACTTCCTTTAAGTCTCAGCTAAAATTCAGCCTTTTTCCAGAAACCTTTTCCTATCCCCCTTTCCCTCTAAGACTACCTCCAATTTACCTTGTTTGTACATAGTTGTTCGTCTGTTGTCTACCCCCTTAGAACATAAACACCTTGAGGACAGGGCTATCTTGACCTTTCTTTGTATTTTAAGGGCTTAGCATGGTGACTGGTATATAGCAAATATTAAACCAATGTTTGCAGAGTAAGTGAATGCAAAATTCTTCTTTTTTAGCATTGCAAAGGAAGTGAGTGGTTAATAGAAGACAAGCATAAGTAGGGGGCTCTCATAGGAGGCAGTTTATCTACTAATTTGGAAGAGAGATATCAGAAAATTGCCTTTCCTCTTTGGAATGTGGGAGGAAGAAAAGGGAAGGAATGGGGGAGGAGGAGTGGAAAACCACCTCCATCAAACTCATCCATGAAATCCTTTACTATCTGTATGACCTTTATCAAGTCACTTTATTTCTCTGGGCCTCAGTTTCTTCATCCATAAAACATGGGAGAAATGCTCCCTGAGGTCTCACCTACATCTAATTGCTCTGTTGTTTCCCTGACTCCTCTCAACCCAATCCATAGATAGAAGCAATCTTACCCTCTGCAGCAATTATGTGGTGCCATAGTGCCATAGTGCTGGGCCTCAAATCAGGAAACTCTGAGTTCAAGTTTTATTGTAGACACTTAACTAACTACCTGGGTAACCTTGAGCAAGTCACTTAATTTTTGTCAGCCTCAGTTTCTTCAACTATGAAATGGGATAATAACCTATCTCTTAGAGTTGTGAAGAGCAAATGAGATAATATTTGTTTTTAAAAGTGCTTAGGGGCAGCTAGGTGGTAAAGTAGATAGAGCACTGGCCTGGAGTCAGGAGGACCTGAGCTCAAATCTGCCCTCAGATACTTACTAGCTGTGACACCCTGAGCAAGTCACTGAACCCTGTCTCAAAAAAAAAAAAAGTGCTTAGCACAGTGCCCTTCACAGAGTAGGTACTATATAAATGCTTATTCACTTCTCTTCTTTTCTCTCTCTCTCATGAGTTTAGTATGGTTCTCTTACATATTTACCACATTCTAATTCGAGAGTTTTATGCACTTACCTCTTCTGCTAGATTGTAAATCCCTTAGGGACAGAGATTTATTTATCTTGCTATCACATCCATTTCTTAGCAGTGTCTTACACATACTAGATGCTGAATCAATTTTTAAAATTAATTAACTGACAGTAGGAAGGGTCAAAAAATAAAAATAGATAGCATTAATCAAGTACTTCAAAGACTGCAAATATTATCTCATTTATTCTCACAACAATGCTAGATTATAGGCACCATTATCCCCATTTTACAGATGGACACCTGAGGTAGAGGTTAAGTGACTTGTGAAAGGTCACACAGTTAGCAAGTGACTGAGACCAGATTTGGATTTAGATCTTCCTGACTCCAGGCCCTAGGCCTTATCCACTCTGCCACCTCACTGGTTCCATTTCTGCTTGGAACAGCATTCTTTAGTCTGTATTCCAAGGTCCCTTTCAGTTCTGACATTCTGTGTTCTATGTCTAATGCTCCTTCCAGCCCCCACAACTTCCCACAAGTTGGAGGTATTTCCAGTGCATTGGAGCCTGTCATCCCTCCCCCAAGTCTTTCTACATAGAAATAGTTGGGGGTTTTGTGTTCTACGGCACGTTGTCAAGTTGCTTCCAGCTCCGCCATCTTATTTTCTAAGGTTCCATTAGCTGCAATAGTCTTTTATACACATTGACATAATTTTTATAAAGAGGTAAAGTTGAATATTCTGACTAATAGTTGTTTCAGGAAGTTTTAAGCATGATGAAGAATGGTAGACTTTTCAGAAGACTTCTACTCATCTCCTACTGCTTACTTATTCCATTAGATAGCCTCTGAGGTTGTGTGTGTGTGTGTGTGTGTGTGTGTGTGTGTGCGCGCGTGCACGCATGCATGTAGGCACTTGGAGTTAAGTGACTTGCCCAGGGTCACACAGTACATTCCGGATTTGAACTCAGGTCCTTCTGAGTCCAGGGATGGTGCTCTATCCATTGTACCACCTAGCTGTCCCTATTCATTCCATTGGGCAGACAGGATCAGTGACTGGAAAGAAGGAGGCTGTGAAATAGGTAGAGAGAACCATGGCATCAGGAAGATTCCATCTCAAGGCCAGACAAGTTTCATCTAATTTTTAGCTCTGTGTCAAACTCCTGTCACAAAGGCAAGACAGATGAGGACATTGGGTAGTCTTGTCCTCGGGCCAGGGACACCAAGAGTCCGTGGGTGTAAGCAACAGTAAAAGGTCAGAAGCAATGGATTATAGTTAGTCAATAGTCTGTAAACATTTATTAAGTACCTACTATGTGCCAGGTACTGGGCTAATTACTCCTCATTGTTTTACTAAATAGTTGTGTGTCACTGAACAATTTAATTGAATCAGTCAGTTACCCTCTCTGGACCTCAGGTTTTTGTTTGTTTGTTTTACCTGATAAAATACCTAGTATGGCAGTGGAAGGCTTAGGTTGAGCTCCTCACTCTAATATTCACTAGCTATGTGACTATGGGCAAGTCACAAACTCCCTAAACTTCTATTTTCTCATCTGCATGGAGAACATTCTACATTCTAAGAACCCTCCCAGTTCTAACATTCTTCATTCGATGTCCTAACTTTCAGCTCTAACATTCTATGTTCTAAGATGCTTTTCATGACCCAATGCTCCAAGTTTCAAACTAAAACTGTCTCTTTCCTGTCTTTTAGGGTGCTCTCTTCTATGAGAAGCTTCATCCCTAGAGTTACCTTTAAATCCAATAGAGCAAAAGATTTGGATTTGGGGATCCTAGATTTTAGTACATGAATTTAAGAGAGAGAACAGTAAAAACACTTAACCACAATTTATGATGACTGTAACCTTAACAGCACAGTAACCACAGTTACCACAGTAACCTTGTGGTCCATCTTCGTGACTATAAAGTGTAGATGGAGGTATCTTCTTTTCCAGTCCACCTATGACATGGCCCTAAAACAAGCAGGTGGCTGGAACAATAAGTCGCAGATGGCAGTTTCCTTATTGCTTTCTTTCTGGAAGCACATCCCACACCTGTGTTGTCACTGGATGGCAGCTGCTCCAGAAATAGGTGATTTAATTGGAGTATCATCAATGAAAACTCTGGTTATTTATTTTTCAGATCCAACACTGAAAACTGGGGCTTGCATGTTTCTGTGTAAAATGGCATGGGTTGGGAGTCAGGGTACCTAAAATATTAGAGCTAGGAAGGATCCTAGAACTGAGAATTCAGTGTCATAGATGGAAGGGACCTTGGAATCTGGAATGGAGTGTCAGAGACAGAAGGAACATCAGAACATAGAGTACAGCATCAGAGACGGAAAGGACCTTAGAATATAGAACATAGTGTCAGAGCTGGAGAGACTTTAGAACAACACACAGAATCCTAGTTGAGAGGAATCACAGAGTCATAGATGTAGACACAGAAGAGACCTCAGAGGTCATCTAATGACACGCTCTCATTTGATGGATGAGGGAAATGAGGACGACAGAGGTTAAGTGACTTGGTCAAAGTCACACGGATTGTGAGTATCCAAGGTGGGTTTTGAACCCAGATGTTCCGACTCCAGAAACATATTTATTCCATTGTACCACACTGAGATTTTATGGATGGGAAAACAGGTTCACAGAGGAGAAGAGGATCCCACCAGGAGAAGAGGGTCACACCAAAGTCACAGACAAAGCTAGGATTATAATCTGAATCTCCTAATTCCCAGTCCACAGTCCCTTCAACAACATCAATCTTCCAAAGGCACTAATGGCTTACGGGATTCTCCTCTGCTTCATAGTCTTTTAGGCAGGAAGTCCCTCGAAGACCAAGATGATTTCCCCCGGATTACTGATGTAGTAACCAGCATAGGACCTATGCAGCTGCATATCGATAAATGTGTCCAAATGATAAAGTGAATAATAAAGCTACTTGCATCCCACATTAGCTTAGAAGAGGCAGTGCAATGGAAACATCCCAAACAACTGGTATAAACAGGATGCGAATTGATGCTGTTTTACTTTTAATCCAGTAGCTTGATACTCCAGACCATGTTGCTGCTTTGTTAAAACAGAATACAATTTTAATTGTGCCAAATTCAAAGACCTCCAATCCTAGGAATGCTCTTTTCCTTGTGAAGCAATTTATTGCCATGCCATACTATACCTTGCCAAAGCTGCCTTTCCCCAGCACCATGAGGAAGTTAAAATCAGTCAGTTTCATCCGATCTCGGTTTCCATTGTTGTCAATTTTAGATATTGCATTGGCTGTCTTTTCTTCTGTAACCTTGGTTCCCTGGCCAATCTTGGCTCTCTAAAGGGAAAAACATACAGCATTTAGAAAGGATCCACAAAAGCACTGAAAAACACAGATAATGCACACATATTATAAATAATGAGGAAGTACCCACAGCTATAGTAATAACCACTGTTATTTTCTTGATCTGGACCTGTGATTTCACAGGCTTAGGAAACTACTGGCATGGAAACTTTCCCCAGTAAAGTAGATCAGTAAGTCACTAATAACTCAAAGTCTCGGGAAGTTGTCTGGGAGAGTGAAGGTAAGTGACTTGCCCAGGATGACATAGCAAGTTAGTATGTGTCAAGGTAGAGCTGAATTCAGGTCTCCTTGACTTCAAAAGTCTTCCTGACTCCATCCATACTGCTACATTTCCCTTCTAATAACAATAACTCATTTATCTATGGTATTATATAGTTGAAAAAGAATATTCTTCACAACAATGTTGTGAAATAGGCAATACAAATATTATCATCACTACTATATAGATGGGAAAACAGAGGCTCACAGAACGAACATCATCGGGCTCATGTGAGGACAGAGCTGTTCTTTGACCTCAGCACTGATTTCTATTCTGGTGCTTTTGTCTAGTGTCTCCCCTCCTCCTCTCATTGACTTGGATTTACTTTGTACAGATTTAAATATACTTAAAAGTTTACATATTGCTTACACTAATAGTATATAAACTGCTTGAGGGGAGAAATTGTTACATATTTTTTGGTATCCCCAACGCCTAGTCCATAATAGGCATTAAATAAGTGCTTACTGATTCATTGATTCAGAAAGGGCAGGAAACCTCCCCCCAAAAAAGGCTTCTGGTTGAGGTGTACATGGCTCTAAATAATGTTCCTTCTGTGCTTCAGCACAGCTGGTGCTTTCCATCTGGTCTCCTGTGCATCTCCATTCTCCCCCTGCGTGGTCCAGACCTCTAAACACCTGCATTGACTTTCCCTTAAGCAATGTGCTTGCTGGGTTTCTGACAGTTTGGTTTCTGGCCCATTACTTGTGTTGACTCCCAGCATCCATGTGTACCAGACTTAGAATCCTAGAATCCCAGAGCTGAAGGGCATCTCAAAGCTCATCTTCTTCAATCTGTTTCTCAAGACAAAAATCCCCTTTGTGGTGGTTGTTTATCCAGCTTCTACTTGAACAACTCTAGGTACAGGGAATTCACTATTCCCCAAAGTATTCCATTTTTATACCACATTAGAATTTAGGAAGTTCATCTTTATATTACATTAAAAAGTGCCTTCCCTTAACTTCTACCCATTTGGTCCTAGTACTCCCCTCTGGAGCTACTCAGAAACCTATTTCCTCTTGATCTAACAGATTTTTAGCTATAATAAGGTTTCAATAATGTCTCTCCTACCTATCCTGATCTGAAGTTGAATCTTAAATACTTTGTCCACATAATGAGAAGACAGGTCTCACTGGAAAAGACCCTGAAATTAGGAAAGATTGAAGGCAAAAAGAAAAAGGGACAGCAGAGTCACGGAAGCAATGAACATGATCTTGGACAGACTTCAGGAGATAGTGGAGGGTAGAAGGGCCTGTATTGCTATGATTCATGGGGTCATGAGGAATCAGAGAGGACTGAATAACAGCAACCCATCCTGATAAATCTTTTTTTTTTTTTTAACAGGCTAACCATCCCTAGTACTTTTCACTGTTCCTCAGAGGAAACTGTTTCCAAATCCTTTTTAATCCTGGTTACTGATCTTCTGACACTCTGTACTTTGTCAATGTCACTCTTAAAATTTGGCATCCAGAACCGAACATTGTGTTCCAGATACATCTGACCAGTGCCAAGAGCAAAACCATCGTCACTGCCCTCATTTGGGACACTAGACTTCTTGCACGCCTCTCCACGTCTTTACGGACTCTATCTCACCCCCATTTCCATATTACCTAGACCTGGTCATGAGCTTTAAATTTCCCAAGAGTTGTCACATGGAATAAGTAGACTTATTATGAGCAAGTCTACTAGGCTAGTGCTAAGTGCAGGAGATGAAACAAAAGTTTGGGTAAGATATAGTCCTTGTAACTTGGAGCTCATTTATGTTTAGTAGGAAGCAAGGACACATATCATATACAAAATAACAAACAATATGTGCATATAGGGTGGTATGTGAAGAAAAGTCATTACTGATTAGGGAAGGGAGCTGGGATCAGAAGGGTCTTCTGTTCTTTTTTGTTTGTTTGTTTGTTTATTTTATTTTATTTTATTTGGTGAGGCAATCGGGGTAAAGTGACTTGCCCAAGGTCACACAGCTAGTACGTATCAAGTGTTTGGTCTGAGGCCAGATTTGAACGCAGGTCTTCCTGACTTCAGGGCCAGGGCTCTATCCACTGTGCCACCTAGCTGCCCCCCGCCCCAGAAGAGTTTTCTAAGAAGTACAAATACTTTGTCTTTATTTTTTTTTACTTTAAAAATAATTTATTTTTTTTTTACCATTCTTTTCTCTTTAAATTTTGAGTTCCAAATTCTCTCCCTCCCTTCCACACCCTCCCCACTGAGGGGAAAAGCCATATGATATCAATTATACATGTGAAATCATGCAGAACATATTTATGTATTAGCCATATTGGAAAAAAAGCAAAAAAAAAAGTAAGAAAATTATACTTCAATTTGCACTCAGAGTTCATTAGTTCTCTCTGTGGAGGTGGATAGCATTTTTTTCACCGAGTCCTTTGGAGCTGTCTTAGAGTAGACAAGTCTTCCATAGTTGATCATCATTATAACATTGCTGTTACAGTGTACAATGATTTCCTGGTTTTTCTCACATCACTTTGTATCAGTTCATAAAGGTTTTGCCATGTTTTTCTGAAACTACCTCCCTCATCATTTCCTATAGCACAAGAGTGCTCCATCACAATCATACGCCACAACTTGTTCAGTTCTGCTTTTTAAGAAGTTCTTTTCTTTAGTGAATTTTGGTGTCTCCTTTTCCATTTGGACTATTCTGCCTTTAAAAGAGTTTCTTTCTTCAGTGAATTTTTGTGCCTTTTAAATTTTTTTTTTACCATTAAGCCAACTTTGTTTTTAAGTTATTTTCTACAGTACTTTTTATGCCCACCTCTCTCTCTCTTTTTTACCAAGCTGTTAATTCTCTTTTCATAATTTTTTTTATATTACTCTCATTTCTTTTCCCAATTTTTCCTTCACCACTCTTTTCTCTCTCTTTAACTCTTCCAGGAATTCTTGTTGGATTTGCATTCAATTAGCATTTTTCTTTGAGGCTTCAATTGAATCTGTTTTCACATTGTTGTTTTCTTCTAAGTTTGTATCTTGGTCTTCCCTGCTACCCTGGTGCCTTTTTATGATCAAGTTTTTTTGTTGTCTGTTCATTTTTCCAGTCTGTTTCTTCTTGACTTTGAACGTTACGTTAAAGTTCGTCTCTGTTGACCTGGGGGTAGAGAAACACCGTCCCAAGATTCAGTCTTTTTCATGGTATTGTTCTCAGAGCTAGTTCTGTGGGGTCTGTAAGTTTTCTGTGATTCCAAGGCAGTGTTATCTGGAGAGAGGTGTGGTCATTGCTCTCCTGCTCTATACTTTGGTCTTTATCTAAAAAAAACTGCCACAAGCACTAACTCTCCTATGAGTCCTGGAACTGTGACCAGCTTCCCTGCTCTCCTGCAGCCACCTTGCTACACTCCTCTTGGCCTTGAACTGGACCAGGTCTCCTGCTCCCTTATGGAGCTCCCTTGTGGCTATGTCCAGCAACTATGACCCACAACTGCATATCGGTAGTAGAGCTGGCAGTGCCAGCTGCCCTCAGTGCCAGCAAAGGGTCCCCTATGATCTCTTTCTGACTAGTAGTTCAGCCCCCTTACTAACTCTGGGCTGAGAGCTCCCAAAGCTGCTGCAGGTGCCTCAGTTGTTCTTGTTCCTGCTGCATGTATGTGCTACTGACAAGCCTCCACCCTGGTATCACAGACTTGTCCTGCCAACTAAGTTTTCTTAGGCCAGAAAAATGCCCCACCCTGACTTTTTGCTCACTCTTCCACTTCAAAAATTTATTACAGGAATCATTTTAAAGTTTTTTTGGAGGGGACTGTTGAGAGAGTTCAGCTGGGTTGCTGCATCTAATCCACCATCTTGGCTCCATCAACACTTTCTGTCTTTAAAATGTTCTCAGGTTGTCAAGTGATCCCTGAATCATCAATTCATCAGTTTTCAGTACTGGGAAGAAACTACTTATCACAACATTGGGCACCCCATTCAGGGTTTCCTTCTTCCTCTGAATCCATCCCTGCTCATGGTCTGTCCTACTGGTCTGACCTACTCAGCATTAACATTCATAATTTTGCATTGCTATTCAAATTTTCACCTAGATATCATCTCCCCAACTAGACTGAAAGTGATGAGAGGTCAGGAATTGTGCTTTGGTCATCTCTGTATTCCCTTAGCACAGGAAGGGGCATTGAGGTCAGTAAATGGATAGAGGTTATAGAGAAGTAAATGTGGGCTTGAGATAAGTAAAATCTTTCAATCTCAAAGTAGAACGGGTTTCCTTAGCAGGGAATGGGTTCACCCATATTGGAGGTCTTCAAGCAAAAGCTAGATTTTGGCACTTACTAGGTACCAGCTCAGTTCCTGACTCTCCAGACTGCCTTTCCATCTCCAACCCAGTGGCCTACCATTGGCAACATCTCCATTCCTATAGCCTCTTCCTCCTACAGGCAAGTTCCTCTTCAGAATCTGCATTTATGGAGGGTCATGCAAGCCCTCCTCACTCTATCCTAGCCCAGATTCTTTTCCACTTTGCCCCTAAACGGGCACCTATTCTACCTGACATCCCTTTTAACAGCCTTTTTTGAGTTGTCTTCTCCTATTAGAATGTAAGCTCCTTGAGATCAGTGACTTTCTTTTTTTTTTAACTATTTTTGGGGACGGGGCAATTGGGGTTAAGTGTCTTGCCCAGGGTCACACAGCTAGTAAGTGTCAAGTGTTTGGTCTGAGGCCGGATTTGAACTCAGGTCCTCCTGACTTCAGTGACTTTCTTTTTGTTTGT